CCTCCCGCAGCTTCTTGCGGCGGCAGGAAGGCATTGCTGTGATTTGCGCCCTTCTCCCCTTGACTGGCACCGACCCCATTCCCTCCGACAGCGGGTTCGGCAGGCTCAGGCGCCTCAACTCGAACACGTTTGCGTGCCAGTCGGCCCACATGTGCCAGGTGCTCAGCCTTGAGACTCTCGACCTTCTCCATCGCGCCCTGGAACAAGTCCTTGGTCGCCACTTGCATTTGCTTTCGCAGCTACTCTTTCCTCGACTGAATATCACGCTGATCCTCTGGGGTGAGCTCGGCTTCTTCACCTACCTGGAAGAATCCCTCGAAATCGATGAGGCTGACCACGTCCGTGTGCCCCGCCACCACGTCCTCCAGCTTGACCTTGGAAGCTTCAGGCTGACTGCCTCCTTCGGACTCCTTGGCCACCGTGGATGCCAGCTCCGATACAATCGCTGCATATTCTGCACCAGCTGCTTGCAGAGTGGACTCCAGAACTCGAACGCACTTGGACTGGATGAGGACCCACTGCTGATACTGCTCCAGCTTCTCCACCTCCGTGGACACCTGCCCCTCAAGCTGCTGGATCCTGTCGTGCACCCGCTGGGCGCGCTCCTGCACGGATAGCTCTGGCTCCTTCCGCATGGCCTCGAGCTGCCCACAGTACTTGGCGGCGGCGGTCGTGTCTCCCATCTTCTCTGCCATGGCAACAAAGTTCTCGACCTCGTCGACTGTTGGCCCGCCAGCTGCGACCTTCCCACTAGCGTTGACTGACGGAAGCGGTGGGACTGCCGAACCTTCTCCTTGAGCCGAAAGGGCTCGGCGTGCTGCTCCACGCGAGCTGCGCCGATCGCCACTGCCGCCGCCAGGCTGCAGAAGAGCCAGAGTCGACACGTCCGTGGGAGCCTCCGTCCGCCACTCGTGGCAGTGCTTGCAATACTCCTGCGAGTCGATGTTCTTGTTGCATCCGCAATGCGCACATGCCCATGTTTTGCCCGCCTGCTGTTGGCCTGCGTACGCTGCACTATCTCCGCGGGTCCTGGAGGGCTGGCGGCGCGGGGGACCACGATCTCGTCCGTCAGGACAACACTTTACGGCCTCGACCTGTGCCTTTGTCCCCCACTCCGCTCTTACTACCCTTCCAGCCGCCTTCCTCTCGCCACGCACGACCGTCGTGCCGCCATGGCCACTCGGCCCGATCTCCCATCGCAGCAGAGGAAGAATGGCTGCACACGTCTACGGGCGCCGCCCTACGGCTGAACGCCAACGGTAAACGGATATGGAATTATGGAAAGATGAAAGCAGAGGCCCCTGTCCAGGGGCGTCTCCGGGGCCTCGAGAGCAATGGCCGCTAGACCAGGTCTCGAGCTCGCGGTGGCTTGAGCCAAAATGGTTTGAGCCAAAATGGCTTGAGCCAAATGGCTACGGACCTCCTCCTCCTCCTCATCCTCCTCCTCCTCCTCCTCCTCTTCTTCCTCCTCCTCCTCCTCTTCTTCCTCCTCCTCCTCCTCCTCCTCCTCCTCTTCCTCCTCCTCCTCCTCCTCCTCCTCCTCCTCCTCATCATCCTCCTCCTCCTCCTCTTCCTCCTCCTCCTCTCCCTCGTCCTCCCCCAAGTGTTCCCCCTAGATGTTCCACAACTGCTGGGAAACACATAGTCTTTAGCCTGGCCAGACTTTGGCCCCGCGCTCGACCACAGAGGCGCTTCCAAAAGGACAGGAGGCGTCGTGGGCATCTTCGATGGGTTCGCCCCCGAAATATAAGGACGCAACCGCCCCTTACATCTGCGATCCCCTCCCCGTCTTGCGTCCAGGCAATCCTTTTGGAAGGGTCGACGGGACCTGCCGCAGGGCCTCCGCAACCCCCGCAATTGCGAGAAAAGATCCGCCTTCACAGTTTCAGATCGTTGGAGGTGTCCAGATCCTCCAACCTCTGTGATCAGGGAGTCGACAGGCGCCGGGGCTCTTCGCCTAGTGGGGGTCCGAGCCCTCCCCCCCGATCGCCCCCTGGGCATGGTGCGCTCTGGCCCGAAATTCGAGGCGCATCCGGCCCGGGAGGCCAGAAAAGAAGGGTTAGAAAACGTGGAGTATACTGAGACATGCACGGTTTAATATTTGAGACAAGCATATGACTACTGGCAGGATCAACCAGGTTTGTACTCAACCACTGAGCCCTGGCACGCCGAAGCATGCCAGAGACAGCAGTCTTGCACTCAAACAGTCAACCAGAGAATCCAGCAACACATGGATCCCCGTCTGCCGAGGTCCCCGAGGTCTCCCCGGGTTCCTGGAGCTTCGCGGGTCTCCACACAGGCCTACAACTGCACCTGGCACCCCCATAAAAACAAGATCATCCAAGAATATCCGAAAACGTCAAAAATCGAAGGTAGATTCCCCCTTCGGCCGCAACGGTGCACCCCGTGACGACGAAAGGCGACGACGACGACGACGACGACGACGACGACGACGACGACGACGACGACGACGACGACGACGACGGACGACGACGACGACGGCGACTACGACGACGGCGACGACGACGACGACGGCGACGACGGCAAGGAACGACGGACAACGGACGACGGCAAGGAACGACGGACGACGGACGACAGTTGACGGACGACGGACGACGGACGACCGACCGACCGACCGACCAACCGACCGACCGACTGACCGACCGACCGACCGACCCACCGACCCACCGACCCACCGACCCACCGACCGACCCACCGACCGACGTCGTCGAGCAAAGTCGTCCGGAGGTCCCTGTGGCCCCTCGTAGTCCCCAGAGGCCCCCAGAGGCCCGAGAAGGGGCCACTGGACGAGGCGCAGCTGATGGAGACCACCCTGGGCCCGAAAACTCTCGAAAAAAACTCACCCCTGAGCCTATCCCCCCCTAACGTTGCTCCTGAGACGACGCGGGCATTCTCAGAAGGCTTGGAAGGCCTCCGGCGTTCTGAAATGTGTTCCAAGCCTTCTTCTCCGAAGACTTAGACGGCTTCTCAGAAAGCCGGAGGGTCTCTGAGAAGCCTCGCCGCCTTCGAAGCCCTGCCCCCTCTCAGTTCCCCCCTCGGCGCGCCAACGACTCTGAGGACATCTAGAGACCTCTCCAACCCACGAGCAGTCAGCACCGCATCGGGAAATCGATTCGAATCGGAACGTCCGTCGGATCGGGACGCACTGGCACGGTCGCGCCGAGTGCGCCGCCGAATTTCGATCGCACCGAGCGGCGGCAACGGGCGGCGCGCGGCGGCGGCGCGCACCCGCCTCGGCCGGCGCGGCCCGCAGCAGCGCGGCCGCCGCCGCCGCGGCCCGCGCGGCGCGCCGCATCGCGCGCCGAGGCGCGCGAGCGCGGGCGCCACTTCGGCAGCGGCGGTCGATGGTCCTCAGGGCGTGTGTGAGTGTGTGTGTGTGCGGGTGTTTGTGTATATGTGTCTGTCTCTGTCTCTGTCTCTGTCTCTGTCTCTGTCTCTGTCTCTGTCTCTGTCTCTGTCTCTGTCTCTGTCTCTGTCTCTGTCTCTGTCTCTGTCTCTGTCTCTGTCTCTGTCTCTGTCTCTGTCTCTGTCTCTGTCTCTGTCTCTGTCTGTCTGTCTGAGTGTGTGAGTGCATGAGTGTGTGACCAATCTGCTTCACAGGACTGTGCTGGGTCGGCTACCCCGCCAGTCTGCTGGTCTGGCGGCAGTTACAGTTTTTCCTTTGCGCTTCACTGTCTAACACCGCTCTTGTGATTCAGTGACCACCATTTAGCACCAGGCTGCTTGAGCTTCAGTTCACTTTGAGTTGAGTATCCTCCTCGTTTTCTGGTCACTGCATGTTTCGTTTGGGCTTACAGCTCCTCTAGCACCCACCCATCGCCTGCACTCGCAGTGTGCGACGCTTCGTACACTGTGCCTTCGACAATGCTCGATCGAAATTGGCCCTTCCATCTGCTGCTCGCGCTTGAGGAACCTCTACGCCGCCGATTTAACAGTGTGTGGGTGTGTGGGTGTGTATGTGCATTTGCACATGCATGTGCGTGTGTTTGTGTGAGTGTGAGTGTGAGTGTGTGAGTGTGAGTGTGCGTGTGAGTGTGAGTGTGAGTGTGAGTGTGAGTGTGAGTGTGAGTGTGAGTGTGAGTGTGAGTGTGTTTGTGTTTGAGTGTGTGTTTGTGTTTGTGTGGGTGGTGTGTGGGTGTTGTGTGTTGTGTCTTTTGTGTGTTGTGTTGTGTGGTGTGGTGTGTTGTGTGTTCGTTATGTGTGCAGTGTGGTGTGTATTGTGTGTTGTGTGTTGTGTGTTCTGTTGTGTGTTGTGTGGTGTGTGGTGTGTTGTGTGTTATGTGTTGTGTGTTGTGTGTCATGTTGTGTGTTTTGTTTTGGTGTGTTGTGTGTTGTGTGATGTGTGCTGTAAGATGTGTGTTGTGTGTTGTGTGTCAGTGTGTGTGTGTGACTGTGTGTGACTGTGTGTGTGACTGTGTGCCTGACTCTGTGTGTGTGTGCTGCAGATGGTGTTGGAAAGGCAGCGCGCTCGGCGGCGAGCCGGGGGGGGAAGTGAGAAGGAGGAGGCCTTCTCAGAAGGCGGTGGGGCTTCTCAGAAGCCCTCACGTCCCCAAGCCCTGTGGGGTCACGAAACATGTGATGGGTGTGCCGACATGGACGTGCGGAGGGCATAGGCAGGGATGGGAGGAGGGGGGGGCAGCGGGAAGGAAGGAAGGAGACGCGAAGCGCTGCCTCTTCAAAACGAGGACCCAACACTACAGGACGGTTGGGAACTACCAAGTCGTCCGAAAACCTCCTCGATCTTCGGACCTCGAACCTCCAGAGACCTCCGCAGGCGAGGATCGAGGGTCGAGATTTATGGTCGTCTTGGAGACCTTTGTGGGCCTCGTAAGGCACCCTCGCGGTCACCCACGGCGGGATGAGCCTCAAGACCTCTAGGCGGGACGCCCCCCAGGACAGGCCTGTGGACCGATCCCGAGGGAGGGAGGGGCCCGGACCTCCTCTGCCAGACGACGAACCCCCTCCCGCGAGGTGGGCGCCTGAGTGGCCACCGCTTCCGGCACGCGCGGCAGCTGCTCGTCGGCCGGAGACGGCCCGCTGAGCTGCAGGCCCGCGCCTGAAGGACGCTCGGCGAAGACGACGACGACGACGCCGACGACGCCGACGACGACGCCGACGCCGCCGCCGACGCCGCCAACGGCAACGGCAGCGACGGACGGCGGCGGCGGCGGCGGCGGTGGGAGGACAACGACGACGACGACGACGACGACGACGACGACGACGACGACGACGACGACGACGACGGCCACGACGGCGGCAGCGGCAGACGTAGCGGCGGCGGCGGCGGCGGCGGCGGCGGCGGCGACTGATGCGGCGTCGGCGGCAGAGCTGGCGCCGGCAGAGGCAGCGCGGAGACCGAGGCAACAGCAGGGACGTCGGCAGAGGCGCCGACAGAGGCGGCGGCAGAGGCGGCGGCAGAAGCGCCAGGAAAGGCGCCGACAGAGGCCCCACGGCGCTGGCGGCAAGGTTTTTCGCCCTCACTGCGCCCCGGCGACGACCGTTCTCGACCATGAACCCCCCTTACCGTCGGCATTCGGCGGTCTTATGGAGGTCTTCGGCGGTCTCCTGGCGGTCTTCGGCCGTCTTCTGGCGGTCTTCGGCGATCGGCGGTTTCCGGCGGTCTTCGGCGGCTTTTAGCGGGCGTCGGCGAGAGAGCTTGAGGGTTGCGTTTAAGAATGGGTCCATGATCGAACACCTAAGATGAGGATCGAGGATTGAGCATCGAGGATTGAGTTGTTGAACGTTTCTGGTCCTTTCGGAAGCCTCCAGAGGCCTCTAGAGGATGTCCAGAGGCACCTGGAGACGGGCAAGGCAGCGACTTGCTACGCGGTTTACGATAAGCGACATCAGCCGTGTTGCTAAAGGGGTAAAGTGGTTTCACAACGGCTTCCAAGTTGGTTGGCTATGAAAGCCCAGCTGAGGCCACCGCCCAGTGGGGAGAGTTCTACAGCCAGAAGGGGGCCGCGGAAACCACGCCGTATGCAGACTTAGGCGCTGTCGCTGACTTCACACTGGAGACCCCCGAGACTCTCTGGAGGCACCCAAAGGCTCCTGGGGGGAGGAGAAATTTTGACGTGCCCATAGAAGGTGCCGAGGGGAGCAATTTGGAGCGTTGGCAAAGGAAGCACGACTCGATTGGGGCTGCAGCACTTTCGAGCACACGTCTTTGTGGGCACTTCCTACTGGAAGGATCCACAGGACGCCTCCTGAGTGGCTACGAGGGCACTCCAAGAAGACGCAAAAACACCAGAGAATCTTCATCACAAATCCTCGAACCTCGATCCTCGAACCTCGCTCCTCGGACGCCCTCCTCGTCGGCGCCTGTCCCTGCCGAGCCGGACCCCGACGGCCCACCGCCCCAGGGCGCGGGGCCTTGCCCAGCGCGTTCGCCGCGGCCGGGATATTTTGCCTGACTGGGGCTCCTCCGCGTCCTCGCTCCTCCTCCTCCTCCTCCTCCTCCTCCTCCTCCTCCTCCTCCTCCTCCTCCCTTGAGCTCCCTATGGGGCCATGCGAACGCAGCCACTGGAGCCTTCGGTGGAGCTCCCTGTGCGGCCCCAAACGTACGAGGGGCGTGCCATTAATGGCATGCGGAGGGCAGAGGCAAAGTGAGGAGGGAGGAGGGGCAGATGGAGGGAAGGAAGGAGATGCGGGGCGCTGTCTCTTGAAAACGAAGACCCACTGGTGGGCAACAAGTTGTGCTGTGTATACACGTGTAAATATAATAACATACGATCGTGCTACAATCGTACATGCCGTAATCACGTCGTCCTGAATGGAAGCATACACAGATGTGCTTCTGCAACTCATATGAACCAATAGGCGCCAGAAGAATCCCACTCGACGTCTACCACCTCACACCTCTGCTTGTTTAGAAGCCCTATAGTACCATAGAACGTATGAACTAGCATTATTATTTCTTTAGGTGAGTTTGACGAATCCAATCATCGCCCATCTTTGAACCCTCACGCCGGCACACACACACACATAGACCTGAAACCCCGCAGAAATCGCTGAAACTCCCAAACATTCCCTCATCGTTCATCCTCCTCATCCTCATCCTCATCCTCCCTCCGCCATCCGCCCATCGCTGACCAGAAGCTACACCCATCCTGGCAGAAATCCAAACGTACAACACCGAGCCCAGTCTCCTACAGCTGATACTCAAAGCAAGCACAAACTCTGGACGTCTTGCCTCAGTCCCGTTGAGAAGTACCTCCATACCTGCTTATCCTTCCGCACTGGGGCGCGCCCGCAACTCCGCCAGGCGCGCAAAAGAACCCTGGGAGGAGCAGGAGGAAGGAGAGGTTCCTACGGTGTTCAGATCAGGAGCTCGGAGAAGAGGGGCCAGAGTTCCGACGGGGTCCGCCTTCAACCTCCCCTCAGCCTGACAGCTCCCTCCGCTTAAGCTTCCGAAGATCCCGGTTCCTGGGGTCGGAGCAGCACGTGAAAGCCTCAAGCCGAAGCATGCACAGCTACAGC